GGCGGGGGGCGGCAGCGTCTGCTCCTCAGGCACCCCCAGGAGCACCCTGTGGCAAGCCCGAGCGCGTCCAGCAGCCTGCGACAGACACAGAAATGGACTTGCACCTGAGCGCCGCGCGGGGAATCGTGTGGGTGTGGGGGCCGCTCAGCCGGGTAACAATAGTTTCACCTGTGAAGAGATTAGTTTGCATTCCCTGGGGGTCTGCACAACCAAAAACGCCACTTCACACGTTCTGCTGGTGTTGTGGAGTTACTAGTTCAGGGGAGCTGTTTGGTAGGGAAGCCAGAAAAGTGTTTTTCAGCCCCAGCACTGTGTGGTACTGGTGCAGACCTCACTTAATCCTCTGGTTAACACAGACCAACTGCACTGGAGAGAATATATTCACCATAACATGTCATCGTGTCACATCACCAGGTCACTTAACTCCTTCAGAACTACTCGTTTCACACCTGTTAAAATAACAGCTGGAGTTGGTCCTTTCTGTGGGTCAGAGTGGAATTAGAGTTGTAACTAGGCTTTATAACTAATCCCACGTGTCTCAGCTGGTGTTATGAATGGATTTAAGTCTTTAAAAACAAGGAGAGGAATGGGAAAATGTATAAAGCATAGCTTTAGATACAGTTTATCTGGTGATTAATTGCTGAAGAACCTGTATCTGTCAGTGTTGCACAAGCAGTAAGACATTCCAACACAAGCTTCACAACTCCTCTACTTAGAGGTTTGGAAGTTTTTCCTCACAGCACAGAACTACCAGGTTTAGTTTTTTTAAAACAACAACAAAATCTAAGAAAAACCTCATCTTTAAGCAGGGAGCTAGCAGAACAGTTTGGATTTTGTTTGCTGGAAACTTCAAAGCATTGGGTAGTACACTGAAGTAAGGTCTGAGGTCAGGAAAGCTTTATTGCTTTTGTTACTGTCTGTCAGTGATCACTCCAAATTGACCTTGCTAGATTTTTGCAGGAGAAACCCACATTTTTCTTCTACAGGTTGCAAGAATGTTCCTGTTTATTTACTCACTATGGAAGAAATTAGAGTTCCATTATGAAGGCAAAAGTATAAGCCTTCACTTACTCATGCTGCACTTCTTGATTTCACATGATTTTTAGGCACCAGAGTGTAAGCCCACTGAATTTAGCCATTAGGATATGATCTGTCATTACCAGGTTTATTTACTATTGGGGCTTTAATTTTAACCCAATAATTGGTCATAATATCGTTGCAAGTGTCTTTTAACCCAAAGCCAGAAATATTCTTGCAAAATAGTTATGCAGTATTTGACGTCATTTTCTAACCAGCTATGAATCTGTAGCTTGTCCTTGGAAGCAGGTTAAGAATGAGTGTTGCTGAAGGAGCAC